CTGTGTAGTTACAATCTACCCATTACATTCTGAGTAATAAATAAGTTTATTGAAGATCGATGAAATTTATTCACCTTGATTGAACTAACCAACTCTTCTGACCACTGTCTCTTCAGTATTCTAATTATTGCTAGAGCATTCACAAGGTTGTTGTTTAGTTCATTATGCTGGTTTAAGTTTCTATTTCTGTATTTAGCTATGTTCGTATATTCTTAGGTCGAGATAGTGCCTAACACTGGTAATCTTCGATTGTTGTTACATATATCTTTAGCTCCCTTTTTATGTACCTATGGTTGATATAACCGATGTTCTCCATTCTCTCGATATATTCTCTCCAGTTATACATTCTTGATAGGTACACGCTGGTTAGCTGCCTGTACAGTTTGTGGGTTCCCTATTTTAGTAGTTCTGGTGAGATGTTACCGGAACCTGATGATATTCCGTTTTTCAATAGTTAACATATACTTTCTTTACTTCTCTACTGTCAATTCCAAGTGGGAATACTATTATATTTATTTGTACAGAGTAAGAGTAAGAGCGTAGGAGTGTTTATAGATATTATATCCCTTCCTCCATCATTAGGTTTTCAAAGTATTCGTTCACGTAAGCTAATAGAAGATATATCTTTTGTTTTTTCTTTTCGAAGAGATTTAACTACCTTTCAGCTTTCAATACTTTCAATTTCAATTTTCAATTTTCTTTTTGATTGTTGCACTTGGTACCTCTTATTGAGCTGTTTGGTATTTGTGTGTACTTTGATCCGTTTTTATTGTCGATAGCTTATCTATATTTATTGATTTTCAATAGCTTCCACTGTAAATACATTATTTGGGAAATAAGGATTATTATAAAGTCATTAGGATAAGCAAATCAGTTTGATCCCAATTGTCCACGCAAAGCAAACATGTCTCTTTGTCGATTTGGGTACTAGCAATTAGACCAAAAACTTGTTGGCAAAAACTATGAAAGCTCAGTTCTATTTCATTTTCGCAAGCGGATGAAAGTACCTACATCATGCAGTCGTTGCCAGTATCTGTCGTGAACTTCAAACAGGGTATGACTCTAGTGTGCAAGTAAAACGTGTGGTGTTAAATGTATTGAACTATCATCTGAAGTTAAAAAACGGTGACAGCTTGACCGGAAGAAGTTTCGTTTTCGAAGTGAGTGTTCGCAAAGTTTATGACATCCGTATAGAGGTCTAGTAAGGCGAACTGAAACCGGTACAAAAAAGGAAGAAAAACAGATTCCAGTCCAATTCATGCTAGAATACTTACGATGGGGAGTAAAATCTCGAATAAGAAAAATTGTTTATGATTTTTTTTTGGAAAATATACCACTAACCTTCGACAGCATAATGAACAGAGTGATGAGGAGCTACCAGCTTTTTCAAAAACCACATTTCGTAGGCTACTAAATGACATAGGTTTTGAATATGGTAAAAAGGTCGAGATTCGATAATGATAAAAAGAAACGATATATCCTGGAGACACAAGTACCTCAGACACATAAAAACATCGAGAAAGAAGGTTAATGTAAACCTTGTTTATACCAATGAGTCTTGGATTAACGTCGGTGCTTCAGTCAAAAAGGAATGGAGGGACACAACGATCAAGAATTCCCGTGATGCCGTCATAAAAGAGCTCCCTACTGGACTAAAAGCTCCAACCAAAAGAGGTCCTCGGAGATATTCTGTTTTGTTAATGTTTATTTCCAGACCATTTATATTATATTCTTCTTCTAGTTTTCAAGCCATATAACTTTCTGGTCTTGTGCTATTATGACGTAATCGTCGGCGAAACTGAGGGTATACAGATGGTCGTTCCTTATGGGTACTCCCATTCCCTCACATTTCCTTTTCCATGGCTTTAGTCATCATCATCATATCACGGGGGTCCTACGGCGATTGCCGCTTCCCGCATTTCAGCTTCCATCTTTTCCTATCTCTTCAATCTCCCTCTTCTAAGCCTCTAGATTGCATTGTTTTTGTAATTTCTCTTCTCCAGGAATTTGGTGGTCTTCCCCTTTTCCTTCTTTCTGGCGGAACATACATTAAGGCTTTCTTTGGCCACCGCTCCTCCTCCATTCTCATCACGTGACCATACCATTGTAATTGCCTTCCTTGTATTCTATCTGAAAGAGTATCTCTAATTCCTGTACGGTTTCGTATTTCCTCATTCCTGATTCTTTCCATTCTCGATACTCGACATGACCTTCTAAGATAATCCATTTCCACAACGTCTACTTTATCTCGTTCATTCTTTCGGCAATCGTCATCGTCCAACATTCGGCACCATATGTGGTAATTGGTTCTACAATTGCTCTGTATACGCGAAGTTTGGTATGCATCTTTATTTTATTAGACCACAGTAATGAATTCAGTATTCGGATGCATTTTTTCCCTTGGGTTATTCGGTTTTGTACATCTATCTTAACTCTGCCATCTGCTGATATGATGCTTCCTAGATATTTATACTGGTTGCAGCCTTTTATGACTGCGTTTTCAAGCCTCAGATCTGTGGTATTTCCTCCAATTTTTAAATATTCTGTTTTACTTATGTTTACAGTAAGCCCCCATTTGGCATATTTCTCAAATAATTTTCGATTCATATAATTTATATCTTCCTCATCGGTTGCAACCACCACCTGATCATCTGCAAACAACAATGTATACAGAGTTTCTTGTCCCACTTCGATGCCCATAAATCTACATTTATTTCTCCAATTCCTCAATGCTTCTTGGACGTATATTTTAAAGAGTGTCGGTGACAAACAGCATCCTTGCTTTAGGCCTTTAGTGACTTTAAATTCATTTGAGGTTCTGGTTCCAATTTTTACACAACTAACTGCATTTTCGTACAATTTATATATCGCTCGGATATACGTCGAATCCAATCCGGACCTTTTGAGGACCTCAAACATTTTCTTTAACGGGACACTATCATATGCTTTCTCAAGGTCTATAAATACCAAATGGGTCTCTCTACTTCTTTCGATACGCTTTTCAATTATTTGTCGTAGAATAAATATATTATCAAGGCAGGATCTCCCGGTACGAAAGCCGCTTTGTTCTTCAATATCTTGTATCTGTCTTTCAACCCTCTTCTTTAATATTCTGCCGTACAACCGGCCCACAGAGCTCGTCACACTAATACCTCTATAATTGGAACAGTCTCTTTTATTCCTTCTCTTATATATGGAGCTTATATAAGATTTATTCCAATCTTTAGGAATTTCCTGGTCTCCACACATACATTTATTGAAAAGGTCTACTATTAATTCTAAAAGTGCAGTCGGCCCATATTTAACCAGCTCTATGGGAATGTCTCCAGGCCCTGCGGCTTTTCCGTTTTTAACCTCTTTTAAGGTTTCCGTCAATTCAGATAATGTTATTATAGGGATTTCCTGTCTTTCGTCTCTGTTGTCTATTAATTCCCTTATCTTTTCCCATCTGTACTCTACTCTATCCTCTTTCAGCAGTTACGTATAATATTCTTCCCATTCATTTAACTTTATGAGAGAAATGTTGTCTTCATTTTTCTCATTTTTCCTAAACTGTTTTAATGTTTTCCAAGCTTGCGCCACTTTTGTTCCACCCATAAATCTGTCCAGTTCATCACACTTAGCCTCCCAGTTTATATTTTTCGCCTTATCCACGTCTTTTTTAACTTCTCTATTCCATTTAGCGTATATTTCTCTGTCTTGAGGATCTTTGGATTGAAGCCATATGTGATATGCTTGTTTTTTCTTGAGAACTTTCTCTTCTAGTTCCGTTGACAACCATTCAGGTTTTCCTTTTTTCCGATTTTCAACTTTTCCCAGTGCTTCATTTGCCGCTTCATGAATATATTTTTTAATTACCTCATACAGACTTTCGGGGTCTAAGTCCTTTGTTTCTATATTTTTTATTTTCTGAGTTATTCTAATTTTATATAAGAACTTTGTCGAATCTTGTTTAAAGCTTTCCAGGTTATATTTTATGTTTTCTATGGTTGTTCCTATGTCTGTTACTTCCTCATTTTTGTGACTTGGCTTTAGTACGTATTGGAGAAATATGTTAAAGAGTGTAGGTGAAGTCGAGCAGTCCTGTAGCAGACCTTTCGTGGTTTTAAATGGTTTTCCAAACTTGTTACCTACCTTACTGTAACATTATTGTGTGTGTACATGGACTTCACTATATGGATCAGCTTATCTTCTACTCCTATTTGTTGCATGGCTTCCCACAGTCGTTGTCTGGGTATAGAGTCGTATGCCTTTTTTAGGTCAATAAAGGCTAGATGGACTGGTCTGCTCTTTGCCATCTTCTTCTCTATTAGCTGTTGCTTAGTGTAGATGTGGTCAACACATAATTTCCCAGCTGTCTGGTCGTCCTCTATTTTATTTTGGATTTGTTTTTCTATTTTTTCCTTTATTATTTTTTCCATATAATCTTCCTATAGATGGTAAAATGCTTAAGCCTCTGTAATTTTCACATTTTCTTTTATCCCCTTTCTTAAAAATAGAGATAATATGGGCTGTCGACCATTCTTCAGGTTGTTGTTCGGTGTCCAAGGCTCTCTGAAACATGGTATTTATCATAGGGAACAATTTTGTAGAGCCGTATTTAATTAGCTCGGGTACTATCCCTCCGGGGCCTGCAGATTCATTATTTTTTATTTATTTTATGTTATACTATCTTGTATGACTTGCTGGTAGAAAACAAAATTTGTTTAAGCTCTATAAACGATTTATTAAATTTTTACTGCCTGGACGGTTTTATAAAATGTCAATTATCACCGTTAATTTAAATAAAGATGTAAAATTTCTCAATTTGAATAACTTTTGATATAAATTTATGTTTTTCTTTTGTATGACAGCCCGAAAGGGATTTCCGACAAAATAAAACCCCTTTTGTTTTACAAACCCTTCTAAAAGCGTATTTTATCATCGGTCCTGCTTGTAAGCAAATAAAAGCTTCAAACTCAAACAGTACGTAATAATAATAAATCTTTTGTTGGTTTCAGATTCTACTGAATTTGGCACGGAGCATTTTCGAGGAGCAGAGTAATCTGGAATGTCTAGTGACGAAAATAATGAGGGAAGCCCAAGATTTACTCAAGTGTGAACGGTGCGCTGTGTATTTGCTTGATTTGGATTGCTGCGAGGCGGTAAGTTTTATCAATTCTTGCTTGACTTGTGTAGTTGGAGTAATGATAAACAATGTTTTTGTAAATAAAACACTAAATCTACCAGATTTTACCAGCAAAAATATTTTAAAATATTTCAAAATAATTTATTTCTTTAAATACATAACTTACCTACCCCAATCGCCTGTTTGGCGACAAATTAGTTTAAAAGCTATTCTATTTGTTATCCCATGGACCTTTTTTGCAGTCACATTAATAAGAAAATAATGAAGATACAGTAATTCTACGCACACCAAATGAAAGTTTTAGAGTTAAACTATCAATAAGTATCAAAGCCATTCCTCTCCTAAAAACTGACAAACGTAAATATTACCCAGATTCATACCGACCCATATCTCTGTCATCGACAGCATGCAAGTTACTAGAAAATATTGTTAGCTCGAGGCTCTTATAAGTTTTGCAAAAACCCAATTTCTTAATCTCCGAGCAAAATGGCTTTAGAAAAAATCGGTCAACCACAGACATTTTAAACTTGGAAAGTAAGATCTATGAAGCTTTTGCTATAAAACCAAAGATGTTTTGCTATATTATTTGATTTAGAACGTGATTTTAATAAAGCTTGGAAGTACAACATTTTAAGACAGCTTCATAACTAGAATATTCAAGGTCACTGCCTTGTCCTCATCCAAAGCTTTTTAAACAACAGATCTTTTGTTAAGGTTAAAATAAGTAATATTTTTTCAAATATTTATCGTTTAGAAAATGGTACACCCCAAGGATCCATGCTCAGTCTAACATTATTTCTAGTGGCAATAAATGATATAATCAAAAATATTCAAGCACCGTTACAAGCCCGTTTATATGCTGACGACGTAGTTCATGCGGGTGACGTCGGTTTATACGTATTACAGACAAAAATATCTTCTTAATGTCCTCAATTATTCAAAACTTTTTAGGTGCTTAGAAAATTGGTCCCACCTTACAGGTTTTCAATTTTTAATAAAAAAATCAATAGGAGTTATCAATCGAAGTATTCTCTTCAAGCACCTTGCCACAACCCTCAACCCTGAGAATCTATGAGAATCAGCTGGAGCTTAGAGATCATCACAAATTATTGGGTTTAATCTTTGATTTAAAGCTTATATGGAAAGATCACATCTCACAACTCATCCTTTCCTGTAATAAAAGATTAAAGGTGTTAAGATCTCTTTGTAAAAAAACTGGCGACCAATCCACTCTACTGTACTGTACACTCTTCTGTATAAATCTTTAATATGTTTTAAGCTAGATTATAGAGAAATTGCCTATTCCACTGCTAATTAATCTCTTCTTAAATCATTAGATGTCACTCATAATAAAAGTCTTAGATTAATTACAGGGGCTTTTCCAACTTCTCCGGTACCCAGCATTTATGATCTTTTAGGAGAACTACCGCTTCATGTTCCTCGTCCAATCACATGTAGCATCAGTCGCTTGTAATATTTTAAAACCAATATATCAGAATACTTTTACAAATAAATATGTAAAGAAATTCCAAGATATTCGTTATACTAAAAAAAACGAAATAATTATTACGAAATAATAAAATCCATACTTCAAAATCTAAACACTAATTTCCTCGGCATTATAGAAATTAACAATAAGCCTCCTCATTTGAGGATGTCAAATGCAAACAAGCTTAAGTCACAAATAAGTAATTTTTCAGGGAGGGCGAAAAACTTGTAGCTTTGCTCTGAAAAAGGTTAATAAGTTCTAATCACTGCTATGCAATAGTATCGGTTCCAACAATGAGATTAAAACACTTGTTTCAGTTAGGGTAGCTAAGAAATAATTGATGGATTCGACCGTAACTTGATGGAAATTAATTTTATGTAACAATAAAACACTGAAAATTTTGTTTTCAAACTTACACAAAATTTATTTTAACCTCTTATCACTACAGCTGTTTCGGCTGATTGCCTTTCTCAAGTGATCTATTAATCGGTTGAGGAGGGGAAAACTGTTTGTCTCAAGTTGGTCATTCTGAATTAAATCTGTTTTTTAATTTGTTGATTTCCATAGATTCTAACAACGATAGCTTAAGGCCTTTATTTTGAATGTGAAGAATTTTAAATTCGTCATTAAAAGAATGATTGTGATCTAATTAAAGTTTCTACCAGTTTGACCGATGTAAATTTATGGGCAGTCACCACATTTAAGCTTGTACACACCACTGTGTAAGTGTTTTTTTTTTTAGGTTTTTAAGTGTTTTGACAAGAGCCAAACTAAAAAACGCTTACACAGTGGTGTGTACAAACTTAAATGTGGCGACTGCCCAAAAACTTATATCGGTCAAACTGGTAGAAACTTTAATAAACGAATAGCAGAACATAAAAGGGCTTTCAATAATAGAAAAACAGATTCTACATACGCACTTCACCTTCTAGATCACATGACAAATTACCTATGTTAAAGGTGGTTGCGGGTTAAACATTGTAGACTCTTAATGAGACTTTTAATAGACTCTTTTTAAATATAAATCTGACTTCGGAAAATCTGAGTCCCAATTACGATTTCACAGTTAATTTGCATAATATGGTATTTCCAAGATAGTTTCTTATCAAAGATCATTCTTTAAAATTTTTATTGTTCCACATAAGTTAAGTTGTTTTCACACAACTAAAGATCTGGATTTTTTTAAATAAAATACATTTGGTTTTGGTTGCAAAAAATTGCAATCCCACAGCTTACCAGTTTTCAAGGTGATTTCTTGCACATACATATTTTTTCCTCTGGAATGAATATCCAAATCATCAGCGTATAATCTCGGCTTAACAAGTTTTGGAAAGTTTTCTAAGATTTTGTTTATTCGCTAAGAATAATGTTAATCTAATAACGGATCCTTGATGTGTGCCATTTGTTTGGTTCTTAGTGCTGGATAATAAATCTTTGTTTATTTAATATTTGGATTTCTTGGATTTGAATTTTAATAAATTCAGTGGTAATATTTTGTATATATTTGTCCTATGTTTTTTTCAGTGGTGAAATATAATGATCCATCTATACAAAAGATTAAAAGAACGTTATTTTAAATGTTTGTGAAATAATGTTTTCTGAATCCATTTTATAAAAGACTGTAGAGGATTAGACTCAGACTACTAGCTTATGGTAAGCCATATGTGCAGATTCTTGAAGCTGAAATGTGTTGATTAATTTTTAAAGAATCTGATCGATTTGAGTAAGCTGATTGAAATTGGTGAAAGAAGTTGGTAACTTTATATTGCTAAGCTTTTCTTCTGGTATGTATTTGTATCAGCTCATGATGCTGGACTCGGCCAAAAGCTTTTTCAAAAGTTTTTTTGAGGAAAAATTTGAACGAAAATTTAAGGGAAAAAGTATACAAAAAGTAAACATCTAGAATTAAAAAAACAAACATTTCGATAAGAAGAAATGAAGAAAAATCTATAACAAAGTTTTGTGTCATGTAGAATTGATTTATATATCATATTTTTATGTTATAACCGTGAAATTAAAATTTTTTCCATGAATTATAATTCGACTTGTATAAAAAATCTGTTTCTTAGAAGGATTTATGCCCAAGGACAGAAAAGATGATCTGCTTGTATCTAATTAAACTTTATTACCTTTCTTTCTGTTGCTTTTTTGCCTGCGTAATTAATAAAGAAATTAATTACAATATTCGCTTAATTTTTTGAGCGGAAGCGCAACATAAATGAACTCTCTGAAAATAAAACTAAGCTCTATATTTACTTCTGATTTATGAAATTTATACGGCGTCATGTTTAATTAAAACATTAACTGATTGTTAAAATTCGCTCAAATCGTATTAGGTCTAAATTGATTTTAATTATTTGATTAACATATTTGGATTAGAGGGGATTATTTTAACAGTTTAAATTGAATCCTGCTAATAGAATTTAGGATTATACAGGATGCGGCTTACTCGTTATTCAGTAGGTAATGTTACACTTCTTTAAAATCAGTTTAATTAAAATTAGTAAACAATAGCAGAATACTTGTTAACGACTCGAACTGAACAATTATCATTAATCAGCCAATCGCGTCCACTGCTGGGCATAGGCCTCCCTTAGTTCTTTCCAGTAATCTCTACACTGGGCTGCTTGTAGCCAGTTTCCCGTTTATACGTTTTATATCATCGGTCGATCTAGGTGGTCGTCCTCAGCTTCTTTTATAGTTTCTGGGCCTCCATTCCATAATACGTCTTGTCCACGGTCCACCTTGTGTTCTGGCTAGGTATCCTGCCCAGTTCCACTTAAGCGTCGTGGTTCTTTTGAGGACGTCTTGAACTCCTGATCTAACAAACCAACAAATCAGGCAAAGATCGGGAGATCAGGAACTGAACAATAGAACTATTTAAAAATTATACAAGCGTATCTAAAAATTTCACGAAAATCAGATCCACAAGACTATCGTGCCAAGCTGGACTAAACAATATGATACCTGTATCACATAAAAATTAGATACTCTTCAGAGTCCAGCCGTTAGACTTGCTCTAGAAACATATTGCACCAATTAATTCTAAGCGATGATCGCAAGCGGAATTGTATTTACTAAAGCGATGATTCCATTAATGAGTTACACCAAAAGACCTGCTAGCACAAGAAATAACGAATAAAGAAATGTTAAGTGTACCAAGATTAGAAAAACATGCAATATTTAAAAAAAGAAGAAGGATAGGTACTTCAAAATTTTGGTAAACCACCATTTATTTGGAGATAGTGTTAAGTTTTTACACCTTTTCCATTTAAATAAACTTTATTTTGATTTTGTGTAAAGTTTAGTAAAACAAAATATTAGAAAGTTGTCTACAAACTGTATTCCATATCCAGTGTCTCCAAAAGAAAATCTCTCAAATAAAAAACTCTCAAAATTACTTCACATTTTCATCCTGGTACTTCTTGCGATTTCCATATTTTACATGTGTTCAAAAACCTTTTCTTCTTCATTGTTTTCAAAACATCGTTGTATGTGATCTTATCTACTCAGCTTATGCTAATCCA